GTGTGTGTGTGTGTGTGTGTGTGTGTGTGTGTGTGTGTGTGTGTGTGCGCGCGCATGCGCGCGCTCTCTCTGCAGTACCGAGGTCCTCCGGTCGCCTACATCCAGCAGGTGTTGGTGAAGGCGGCGGTGTCTCCGTGGGACAGCAGCCTGGTGCCGGTGGACGTGTTTCGGTCGCCGCTCGGTCGAGCCTTCAGCCTGCTGGAGGAGATACGCAACCACGTCCACTCTGACGGGTAAACACGCACGCACACACACACACACACGTACGTATGTATGACAGGCAATCCGCTATACTTAAAATGGAAACAGATCACTTTTGGTATTTTTTTAAATAGTTGCGCATCAGTTTTTTAATAAATGTATTATTTGTAGTTGAGATTAAGACAAACTGAATATTTAAAGTCCGTTACCCAACACGTGCTGAGCAGTTCAAAGTCGAGCCATGAACCCAAACTTATTTCAGAGAGAGAGAGAGAGAGAGAGAGAGAGAGAGAGAGAGAGAGAGAGACCTTAAAAGTAAACCTGCTATAAGAGTGCTGATGGAGTGCAGTTGAAGTCTGTCGAGTGAAATGAATGACATGGTACTTACCTTGTCTTATTATTGTTCAATTATGCAGGTAAATTGATAGATAATTGAAAGATTAATATTATCCTCTGCTGAAATACTTTTTGCATTTGTCAGCCTTGTTAATATCTTTCCTCTCACCTCCTCTCCTCTGCTCCTCACCTCCGTCAGCTCCGGGGTTCGCAGTCTGGAGACGCTGTGTCTCCAGGTGACGGACCTGTTTCCGGGCTTACGGCGGATGCAGTCGGTGCTGCCCGAGCACGGCTGCCTGCTCGTTTCTCCCGGCAACTACTGGCAGAACCAGCGGGAGCTGTTCGACTTGGACCCGGACCTCCTCAAGACCATCCAGAAACATGAGCCCAAAGGCCTGCACACCTCGGCCACGCTGCGAGGTAGGGAGGAGGAAGAGGAGAAAGAGGGTGTAACGGAGGCTAATACACAGCCTGCACACGGGCTCGTTTTAATCAAAGGGAGGAAATGGCATAGAGGGTGAAATATGATTTGAGTCAGATTGACACAGACAAACAGCGACGTTTTTAATTGTAAAGTTGAGGTTTAAGTGCTGACATTTCATACACCCCCAACCCGTCCTGGAGTTGTTCCGTCTGCGTTCGTTCGGAAGAGCACGGTGACATTTTAATGGGGTTGTATGAGCTTTTTATTCGTAGTCAGTGGCGGCTGGCGAGGCCCCAACTTTGGTGAATTCAACAGTACGGACACGGGCGCAAAGCAATGTGCTTCTGTGGACGGAGGCAGCAGCTAAACGTATATTAGACACCTAAACAAATCAAAAACTCTACCCTCTACGTTATTTAGATTATATTCACCACTTTAAAGAAAGCCCTTAAGCCGTTGAAAATAACAGTAATTTTACCTCGGGAGTTGCTAGTCTACAGCTGCCTCTATTGTTTCTACTGTTTGTGTTATTGTGTGACTTTGGTGAATCCAAACTATCCTTTTTAAAAGTTACACAACAACACCAACGAACTAACCGATCGAGACAGAAGTAGACCAGCAACTCCCGTCTTCTGGGAGGTAAAATCACTGTTTCGTCAAAGGAATCTTGTGACTTTGAATCGTCATAGATGACGGCTTCGGTTCCCCGGCCAGAAAATGATGTCTGACCACAAAGCAATGCAGTAAAAATATTCTAAATATTGTGTACATTTGAACTCCAAACTCGGGGAGTGAGGAGTCCGGCCTGCCATCATACACTGAGTAGATAAATACCTTAACCAACCCCACTTCAAACTGTCCTGCACTGTCCCTTTAAGGCTGGATTCATGCATGTTTGTGACAGGAATGCTCTCGCGTACAGACTCACACCTTGACCCATGACATGGATCGATGGAGTGTACAGTGTGGAAAATAGCTCAAGCCGTCAAAAATGACGAACATCCATGAACTTGCGACATAGTGCTGGTAAACATGATGATCATACACGCCTTCATCTCTTCACGCATCGACTACTGTAACACACTTCTCTCGTCACTCAGTGTAACTGCTCTCAACCGTTTGGCGGCAGCATTGTGGATTACCTGCAGACTACTCACCAGGACAAATAGAGGGTCTCACATCACCCCCGTACTCCGATCTCTCCACTGGCTCCCTGTAGCATTTAGGATCCACTTTAAAATTCTCACCCTCACTTACAGAGCACAACACGGTCAGACTCCTACATATGTGGCTGAACTCCTTCACCCTTATTCACCCGCCCGCGCACTCAAGTCAAACATGTTAAATGATCTGTCTGTCCCACGCACTCGCCTGAAGACCCGTGGTAACCGAGCTTTTGAGGCAGTAGCACCGAGGCTGTATGGTTGTTTAAATGCATCGTGAAGGTGCACTGATAAAGGAGGGAGAAGCTTTTATTAAACCTCTGTCAACGAGGCGATCTGCCTCCATTCCCTTTGATTGGCATCAACAGGAGTCACTGTCACAATGAGGCAGCGAGCGTTGGGATCAGTGGCATCAGAACACAAGAGGGTTTCATATCGAAGAACGAGCCGTTTCATTCCTTGGGAACGTAATGAATTCTCTTAAAGCTTTGCCCACTGACATAGTGAACCAAATCACCCTCCCTGACCGCCCGGGCAAAGCCATCTCAAGTGGGTTTCAGGGGTGGGGTTGTGGTCAGGGACAGATCAGCTGCCAGATACAGTCAGACTGATGCTCTAGTTCACACTGAAGGCCGGTCAGACGCGTGACTAATGAATGACTACGTGGAAGCTGCAGTATGAAAACACTACAACATGAAATTTACAGTAATGTGCCGTACGCCTCTCACGACTTGTATCGACATATTGTACCGTATGTGGACATGAACTCAATCATTTTTGCTGACCTCATTATTGCCCAATATGTTTGCATCTCTTTGTGTTTACATAAGACACGTTGCCAGAATAAACGGCGGGGTTTTCTCTACTGTTATATGACTTATATGACCGGAGTCTGTTTTATTATATTCTTTTAGCTGTATGGTTTTTATTTATTCACAATCTTAAGCGTGCATGTCTAAATATTCCTAATAATCCAAAATGTATCTCTCTTTAAAAGAGTGTAACTGCCTTGTCATGTTAGCATATTAGTATATCAGTGGCATAGAAAGGTTTTCAAACGACAATAATATCGTTTATCACAATTATTTCGAGTACAATATATCGTCCAGCAAATATATGTTAGAAACATTGTGCGTGTGTTTGTGTTGTAGACCTGCTGTTCGGCGTCCCTGGGAAGTACACCGGGGTCAGTCACTACAACAGGAAGAGGGTGGTGACGTACACCATCACCGTGGTGCTGTCCAGCTACGATGCGAGGTCAGTTACACGTACAACAGAAGAGAAAATAAAGTTTCCTTACGTCAACTACCTGTGTATGGTTCATCAGTTAGAGGGAAGTGTCTGCGGTGTTAATGATGATCTCGGTGTCTCTCTCTCTCTGTGTGTGTGTGTGTGTGTGTGTGTGTGTGTGTGTGTGTGTGTGTGT